CGCGCAGCAGCAGTGCGTGAGCCTACGGGGAGGCACTGGCGTCAGGGAGGCAGCGGCGGCTGGACCCTCGTGCCCACACCTCGGGGCGAGGAATCTGAGGTCTGGGTTCGAGTAAAGCCTCCCACAGGGTTGCCACAACGCCGACATGCGATGGCCCAACAAGGGAGTTCAGGCACGGGGGCCTTTGGGGGGGCACCAATGCTAAAATCCTCACCTGCTCAAAGAGGAAAGGCAGCTCGTGACCGTCCGGGGACAGCCCCTCGGGGCGCAGAGGTCCGTGCAGACGGAGACACAGTCTCCAACCCGCGTCCGGCGAGTCTTCCAGCGCCGCGGCTTCCTCGGCCGCCAAACTGCGATGGAGAACCGGGCGCTGAGCGAGGCAGCGGCAGCTCCCATCCCCCGCAAGGGTCGGGGCGGGACAGGGCCGAGCTTGGGGAGGGGCTTTGGGAGCCCGGCCAGAGCCGAGAGGATCTCGGAGTTGAGCTTTGAACCTCCACTGCAAACCGCTGGCGGACAGGGGTCCGTCTTAGCACCAGCGAACTTTACTATGCAGGACAAGGGGCAAGCGCTCATAAACGTCTGCTTAAGGACTGACCTCAGTTTAGAGGAAGATGGGCTAACGGAGGGGTGGGCTGAGGTTGGACATTTACTTCTCAAACCTGGTGAGCACGTCGGCCATGAGAGTCCCCCCAGCCAGGGCTCGCTCCTGGGCCCCTCGCTGCTCGTACAGCGCGAAAGCGTTGCGGCTTCGGGCCAAGCCCAGCCGCCCCACCAGCTCCCGAGCAACCTGGAGGGGAGAGTCAGACCGCTCAGGGGTCTCGTCAGGGCTGCTGGAGGGGCTGATCCAACTGGAGGCGTCTTTCAGGTCTCAGTCCTGCCACACACACCCCTGATCCAAATGATGACTCTCAGACTGGGGCAAACCTGGGGCCCGCGCGCCCAGGAGAGCTGCGCATAGGAAGCTGGGGGGGAAGGGATGAAGTTGCAGGGGGTCTCTCTCTGGTCTTACCTCCGACGCTGTGGTGTGGGAGTCTATGGCCACCGGGCAGGCACCAGCCCCCGGGCAGTGCACGGTGCACAGCAGCTCTTGCCGTCGGCTCAGCGCGGAAATCTCTGCCAGGGAGGGCACCAGCTCTCGGCCGCGAGTCCGGCCCAGCGCTCTGCGGATGAAGCGCGCATATTCCGCCAGCTCCGAGTCCGGGAGCGCCTGCTCCGTCCTGGGTTGGTGAGAACCCTCAGATCAGGGCTTTCCTTCTCCCCTCCCTCTCTCATTCTTAATTTACAGTTTATTTCATCTCGTTGATTCCTTCCCCTCGAACTCTAAGTTCCATGAAGGCAGCGACAGGCTCCTCTGCATCTACCCCTGGCGCTGGGTATGTAGCTGAACAGCTTTCTAAGGCTCCCGGCGGCTCTCTGGGAACTGCCCCTCCCACTTCCCAAAGTCTCCCCGGTCCCTCTTCCGGTTGAAATCCAGCCGCTTTCCGCTGTCGGCTTTCCAACCTAAAAGCCCGGGCGCTGGACTGCATCGGCCCCAAGGAAAAGCACCCTTTTGACTATTTCTCCGCCCAAAGGGGGCGCCTTTTTGCAATTCCTCCGCCTGCAAGTGAGAGGTGACCCTGTAATTCCCAGAAAGCCAGTGTACATATCAGCACTCTGGAGCTTGGGCAAATCCCTTCCCTCCTTCGGGTTTAAGTTCTTCATCTGCCAAACCCTTTCCAAAGGCCTGTCATCCTCCCCCAGCTCTATAGCTACCTGCCTCGGCCTTG